TTTGTAATGTTCTCAATCTGATCTGGTAGGCTAGTGATAATTAAGTCTAAGATGTTGTTTCCTCGTGTGGGCAAGGTGTTGACCTGAGTTAGGAAGAAATCATTCAATTGTTCCGTGAACATAATGTCATCACCGGATGAAGTGGCAGATGGATATTGCCAGTGGAGTTTGGGAAAATTGAAGTCTCCACAAATTATTACGTTGGTGTAGCGTGAAGAAACTTCTGCTAGGAACGAGTTAAATTTTTCCAACCAAGATTGATCCGCGTTGGGTGGCCTGTAGCAACAACAGATGACGTATTTCAGATTTGAGGTTGTGACAAGTTCTGTTGATACAACTTCAATATCGGTTTCGATGTCTACATCGCGTGAGGAAATGAATGAACTTGATTTAACTGCCACCATTACGCCGCCACCAGGCGCATTTCCCGATCTTTTCTGTAGATAGCGTAATCGTCATGGAGAATTTCAGTGTTCGCAACATCTTTTGTGAGCCAGGTTTCCGTTACCCAGACAAGATCCGCGGCCTCAGAGTAAACAAGCTCTTGAAAACGGGAGAGATGACAAAACTTTTTCCCGTCTAAAACATGCTGGCTTTTTAAGCTACGGGCGTTCAGGACAAGACATGTGGTGGGGAGTTCTTTCGATTTCCGGTTCTTTGGTTCATGCTGCGATTCGGAACTGAACGATATAGTTCTACAAGGGCCTGGATTAGTGGCGATATCTCCAGCAAGGAGGATACACAGAAGTAGATGTAAATTCTTATGTTTTATCTGAAGTTCCAAACCATACCGGTATTTACAGGGGTAGTTGGATTTTCTTAAGATATTGTCTCGTGTTGATGTCCAAAGTAAACAAAGTTTATCGGGTATCGTTGTAAGTTCAGAAGCGATGTAAATGTTCTTTGATGTTGGTTTTTCTTTGAAGCGCTCAAGTTCAGGTTTTGATCTTCTAGCCAGCCAAAGGATTAGGAATAAAGTGAGAAGCCATATGACATATGAACAGCCATCAACTTTACGATTGAGAACTATCATTTTGTCGATAATTTATCGTAATATGAATTACGCGCGTAAATGACCAGAAACTCCGCGAACTTGCGCGAATAGCGTAATAAAAAGTTCGTTAGGTAATCAAAATAACGTCACCAAACAATGCGACGTTGACGATCACGCGTGCGTAATCTCAACGGAATTTCTTTCAAGAACCTTTGAAAACACCAAAACCACGATATTTCGATACGTTTTTCGTCTAGTAATAATACAGAATCCACACACAAACTTTGGAACAATATAGCCTGTGTTCTTATCTACGATTTTCCAGTAAATTTTACTTCAATCCCGAGTTTAAAACGGTCAAAATGCAAGGATTTTACGTAGCTCCGAGCGTGCGTGTGCACGCGCACGCGCGTATTGCGTATTATATGATTTTGTCATTGCTTCTTTGGATTGTAAACAAAATATATAACGAATCGGTAGATAAAGTCGACGTCTTGGAAAATTTGTGGTATTTTTTAAATTATCTTGGTCATTTATTGAGTAATTTGTGGATTTGTGCTTCTTTTTGTACCGAATCTGACATTTCTCGTTGCCTTTTCCGCTCGCGCAAGCTAAACGGACGGTTAATCTCACGAGTGCAAACGAACACGCCAACACGCGCGCTTAATTATAAAGCGCGCGCGCTAATTAATAAGAACAAAATTAATACAATTCCTAATCCTATTATTATTATTATTATTAAAGGTTTATTAAGAAACACATTTTGGCACCCGAAGGTGAATTGCAATATGCTTACAGAAACATAATAAAAGATGAATATCAAATATATGTACAGTTGTTAAAATACTACAAATTATTTACTATTAAAATTAGCAGTCATTGCTGGTATAAAACTAGTTTTAAAACGTTCCGTTCTACATTTAGTTAATGTGAAGTTAGAATTGTTTCTTAAGTCCAGTTCATGCGATTCTTCACGGAGTGGGGGTAAGAGGTGGTTGAGGTGAGCATCGGGTTTTAAGATCTTTTTGAATGTTTTAGCACATAGCTCTTGACGTCTGTCGACAAGGCGTTTGCATTTAGCGATGTTGAGAGCATCTTCGTAATCTGTTGTCGGATAAATAATACGGAAAGCTCTTTTTTGAACTTTTTCAATTTTATCCGCCAAACACTTTGGTAACATGGTGTGCCAGACAGGACAGGCATATTCTAAGATAGAGCGCACCATAGAAAAGTAGACTAGTAAAAGGTCATTGGGGGGAAGACCACAGCGCTGTAGGACACGAATAATGTATAAGCGTTTTGAGGCTTTTTTAACTAACGCTTCAGTGTTATCTTGCCATTTCAATTTATTGTTCATGGTTAAGCCAAAATTTTGAAAGAAGGAACTAAGTCTAGAGGTAAACCATCAATGAGGAGTCGGGGAATGCCATTCTCGCTACGGACGAAACTCACTATCATTTCTTTGCATTTCTTTCCGTTCAATTTCATGTTGTTATTAACAGTCCATCTTTCAATTGTGTTAAGATCAGATTGTAGGACTGAAACTTCATTTTTCTTTAAGGACTCCGATATTGTTACGTCATCCACGTATTTCCAATGGTCAGTGCTAGAGGATGCCAGTTCAAGATCGTTGATCATAATTATGAACAAAATAGGGCCCAATTTGGTTCCTTGAGGGACACCTGCGTTATTGATGCCCCAATCAGATTGGAAATTGTCGATCTTTACCGATTGACGGCGATTTGAGAGAAAGCTGCATATCAATGGAATAAGCGACAATCTGACGCCAAGGGCCAGCAACTTTGGGACCAGGATATTATGGTCGATGCGGTCGAACGCTTTACTGAAATCGAGGAAAACGATCCGCAGATAGCTCGATTTATCATCCAATGTTCTCAGCCAATTGTTGATCATATCGATCAAGCAAAACGTTGTAGAGGTTCCTTTAAGGCAACCAAATTGTTGCGGGTTGATTTTATGTTTCACGTCATCCACCATCCAATTGACTACAAAGTCCTCAAGAATTTTGGACAAAGAGGCTGTAAGAGAGATTGGGCGCAACTCCTCCTCACAGGATACGGATGGCGCATTAGGAATTGGTGTAATTAATGCATCTTTCCATATGTTAGGGAATTCACCAGTGGACAGAGATGTATTAAAGATGTGACATACAGGTTCGGCCAATTCGTACGCGAAATCCTTAATAATCCGGTTAGGAATATTGTCAGGACCGCTGGATTTGAAAACTGTTGTATTGAGCATCTTAGTGCAAACTTCGTCAGGGAAAATTTTTGGTACAGGCCTTGGTGCAGGGAGAAAGGCAGGTAGCAGGAGAGGATTCAGTGGTGGTAGGTCATTACTCACGCTTAAGAAATAGGTGTTAAGTGATTGGGCGAGATCTTTACCAGATAGAGTGGTACCATTCTTAACGGTCTTAATGTTATTGGTTGCAGATCTTTTTTTTCCCGGACATCTGGTTAACACAGTCCCACCATTTTCTGGAGTCACTGGATTTTAGGTGTTGTACTTTGTTCGTATAATATGCACGCTTTTTCACTCCTATGTCGTTTCGGACTTTAAGTCTATAGTGACGCCAGAGGTCAAGGTTACCAGAATGAAAGGCAAATGCCTTTGATAAATCAGTTTTTTTAATGCAGGCGTCATCCATGATTTTCCCAAATTCCTCTTCGTTATCGTTTTCCTGTGGTTGGTTGTACGTGGAATAAAAAATACGAAAGAAACCAAGATTAATTTGTTCTATGCCTCAACGAAAACGCTTGGACCACCCTGTTCTTATCGACTTTGTCGTGTTAAGAGACATGTAACTTTGCTCTCGATTCATCCTTTTGTGCATGGACTGTTATTGTTACAGAGATCGTCTTTGCCTTTGCTGTTAATTTTTTTAGCTAACGATGTGGAATTAGAGCTTCTCAAATTCATTAATAATTCATGAGTAATTCAGCCAATGATAATCACCTATTTGATCACAAGATGCCATTTGGATACTTGATGAAAGTCACTAGTGTTTTCATCATATATCTTAATTACGTATGCAAAATTACTTGAATAGAATTCCTAATTACGTGATGCTTGGTTAAGAATTCTATTCAAATCAGCAAACGAAAACATTCTGTTACGTCTCGATTCATTTGAGAAGCCATATAAACAACTCGAGCTTGTGTCTCACCGGGATACCAAACACTCGAAAACAATGTATGAAAACACTCGCGCTTCGCGCTCGTGTTCTCATACATTGTTTTCTCGTGTTTGGATATCCCGGTGAAACACTCGCTCTCGTTGTTCATATATTACATCTCGAACACTGTTCATCCGTCTGCACACCATTTTGTCTGCCCTTGAGAACGGTTCCTGCTCTGCTAGATTGTTTCTTGCAGATTTTATAAAGGGGTTGACCTTGTTGATCATAATGTCATATAATATGCGAGCTGGAAAATCTCGGTGTACATCCTGCCCAGAGGAGGAGTGAGGACTATACCGGCATGCAACGCGGTCAGGCGCGGTTTTTTACATATTATCGATTTCTCGCTCTGCGCCGTCATTGTTCGGTCGGCTTTCGCTGTGTTTACATTTCGAGGTTTTAAAAGATTCGGAAAAGATTTATCGAAAAAAAATTGTAAAATGGTGGATTTTTGCACTATGCATGGAAAGAAAGCTTCGTTTTTGGGTGGACACGAGCTTCTTTGTGTTCACTGTGTGTCAAAACAGCCTTTAATCTTGATTCCGCGGAAGAATTACCGTGTGATGAACTTGAATGTCGCGAGGACGATGAGGTTCATGTTTATAGTTTTTAATACGGATAGTTCGAAGAATAGTCCTTTGTTCAGCTGTGGTTAACGGGATAAAAATTGATGAAATATTCGCTGATGCGGTAGTCCTCCACTGGTACAAATTCACTCTAGTTGTGTTTTTAAGGTGAGATGATTTTTATATAAAAATAAAAATAGAAATATAAAAATGCTGCTATGTTGTATAAATACAGCAGTATTATTAATTAAACGCATTTTTATTTCATATCATGTAGTTCTTCGACCCTAATGATCTACGGGAAGGAGGTATAAACAAAGAATATAGCAATGTTATGTTGTGGGAGTTTGACATTTCAACATCACCAACATCCCAAGCAATCCCACCATGTGACCCAGATAGTCAAGATGATGAGCTGGATAGTGTACTTCCACCAACAGAATTACATCAGCCAACTGACTGTATAACTGTTTTAATTTACCAATAAACCCTGTTTGCCTGACAGACATTCATACACACCGAATGATGGAAGAAGCACCCAGTGGTAGCATTGTTGTAAAGAATGAAATGGAGGAAATTCAACACTATCGCAACACTATATATATAAATGTATTGACTACTGTGTGATGCATTGCAAGGTTTATACTGATCAACCAGTTATCTATGCTCAAATGATCAACCAGTTGTCTATTATTTTACTCTGCCTAACGCCAGATTATTTTGCTGTCTAACACTAGACTATTTACTCATCAGTGCTGACACTCAAATACTCAATGGGTTAAAAAACATTGAAAGAAAATGTTTAGCAGAAGCTGAAAAATTGTTTATTGGTGTCTGGTGTAATACTGATATTTCTTTTATTTGTAAGGATAGAGCTGGGGAGCTTCTAATGGTACAGTCTTGGCCCTACCCCAGTGACTAGTCCTATTGCATGTGTTTTTGTCACTTCCCTATACCATAAGTATTGTATCCCATGGACACCATCTTATCAGTTCTGCAGTTTTTTGACAATCTACTGTAAACCTCCACCTAAAAGCACTGGGCTTATATTCTTTCGTAAGCAATTTTTGATGGGCTTACACAAGGGGGACTTATACACGGGGAGGGGGCCTTATATTCAGAGGTTTATGGTATGTATGGTTTTCATGATTTTCAGAGTATAGTCTTCCCTTGCTCATCACAAATTAATAAAAAGATTACACACTACATAATTGATGCTGATAAAATTTATTTATTTTAAAATCGGAAAAATATTAACATAATATTGCTGTACTTAAAGATAATTAAAATGTTTTTAAAAATAAAATTTTATGCACACAATTTTAAAATATTGCACACATTCATTTCACCAGTACACATGGATGCTATATGATAGAGTATATGAAAGGTGATGCTTTTGCTCTAGCTTAATGATGCGGTATTAAAACAATCTAGAGGTATTACATAATTGGTAAACCTCTTCAATCGTAATGATTTGCATGATTTTCTGCAACAGATATGAATTCAATGAATGCTTTATCTTCCTCAAATGTCCATTTATGAAGTTTAACTGGGAATTTCTTTGGAGAAGTTGTTTAATCTTTCTGATAAGAAACTACAAAACAAACAGCAAAAGTGAGAGGGGCAATGTTAGTGCCAGCACAATTAGACAACAACAAAGAAACTCATGGATTTTTACCAGGATTGTGTGCATGCTTCTCCAGGAAATTTGTGTACTATAGGTTTCCTGGAATGCGCAGCATTGAAAAATAATGTTGGCGTACGGGTGGATAGAAATTGCCCAACATTGTCATGAGTTTGTGAACAAGAGGTATAAAATAGAAGGAATACATCTCCTATACAGACTAGCAGAAATACTGTTTAAAGTCAATCTTAAAACAATTGCCCAATTTTTAAAGCAGAATTCTGCCCAACTAAACACTGACTGGAGGGATTGCACCGCCCCCCCCCCCCAGCCTCGTATGCCTATGGACAGAAATTCTCCCAGGCAAAAAAGCATTAAAATACAATGTTACTATCACTATGATAATGACTCAAGCACCCATTATTAACATATTGTTTCATTAAAAATATACAATGTTTTTGTGTAATCATACTGTATTTTTAATATGTTTGTAAAAACATTTGTACTTTTAAATACACCTTGGCTTTGCACTCTGAAACAAAATTCGGCTTGATGTTGAATTTTTCAAACAAGAAATTCTGTGTCTTTTACTATTAGGTTTCCCTCGGGGAAATATGTACGAATATATATGCGTATGTTTCAAAATTATCATGGAAAATAGTGGTTATAGTACAATAATTTCCTTCGCGCCATGATGATTATCAGGCGGTCTATTCCCGCCATCGGCGATAGAATATAGCAAAAGTACCCCATTTTCAAACCGCGATTACTCGTCGGTTTAGTGGAGCAAATT